TCGTCCGCCAGGCAGAGGACTGCAACCGTGGGGAAGCATCGTTATGCCTTTTCTTATTTTTGTTTTTGCGTATGAGACGTTACTTGAATTATGTACCCTTCTATCTGATTCTGTCAACAACCTAAAGAGTCTGAACCTTGGCTTTGCACAAACCTGCATAGGATTTTAAATCGTTTCTATGCATATGATACTTAAATTCTCACGTCGTGCCCTCACCATTCCCACATTATTGTCATCGCGCCCGGTGGGTAATTTCCCTTTACAAACGGGGCAATTACGCTCCGCTTCTTCATGCCTTCGACGAGGAGCGATAAGTATTGGCTCAATCTCCCATATTTGATCGCTCAATATGTTCTGCACAAGAGACTGCCAATTTTATTCTAATATTTTACTTTTTGTCTTGCTTTTTTGCGACGCAATCTACTTTAACGCATCATTAGTGAGGAAGTGAAGCTCATTTTCTCAGAAGGCTGACACGAAAAATGCCAAAACTTTCAGGAGCTAAACCTGCATGCAAGCAATCACAGAACAATCTGGATTTCATATGGGCCGCCCCCCACCCCCCCTTCCTCCCCCCAACAACTCACATTTCACAAATGCCTCGAACCCGTCCGTAGGGACGAGCCGCTTCCTGCCCTCATACACCAGCTGGCAGGTGCCACTCGACTCCATGAAGTTGAAGGCGAGGCATGGCATGGACGGCTCATCCCTCGCGCAGGCCGCCTTACATTCCTCCAAGTCAGCGGAGATCTCCTTCGACACGCCTCTGTATTGCAGCCCGGGGTGCACCTCCCAATACACGCCCGGTTTAAACGCAGATCCAATCCAGAGCAGGCCGGAAAACGCGAGCAGCGCCAAGGGAGAGGTCATCACCCTGCAGAAATTCGATTCGCGTATTTACCTGCCGCCTAGCAACAACAGCTTGGAAAAAGATCGAACGACTGAGATGCACCTCAAGGACCTTCCTCGTCTTTTAAATTGCTAGATAGGTCAACCAATGTATTTCTAATTCGGTCCTATTACGAAAGGCAGTCCTAGTTATATCACAGTTCATGTCTTATATAAAGAATGGCCTAGCCTCTTCATCAAGTCCTTTAAAATGGCCGGTTTTCCCAATTGCAAGCAGTATTCCGCATCATCCGCCAATATCCAGCGATTGATAAATGGCCATAATATAGTTCAAACTAGGTTTACCGGGAGACAGCAAAATGCATTCGGTCTGCTGAAATTTGCTTACAATTGCATTTGCTGTTCTGCCTTATTTCGAGCCACCCATCACAGTTTCTCGGCAATTCCGTTCCTGTTTGAAGACTCACCTCTTGATTGACTCGACCCAACTCGACGTTTGTTCCCGTCAACTCCTCTCTTCAGCTCCTTCGACGTCTGCCGCCTTACCTATGTCAGAAAACGCCAAGAATGACCCCGGAATACGAATGATCCTTCAGGAGGAGATCAGAATGCTTAACTTGTAAGGGAAAAATATACTTCAAGTAATAGAATACAACAGAATGGCAAATTACGAGGGGATACTTAGCACCTGCATAATCGAATGAAGCGCACTTCATCTTTACCAAGATCCGCACGATACGCAAATTGTATCCTATCACTGTCTCCAGAAATCGAGAACTAGCCCTTGCTATTAAGGGGCAGGTTAGCTCAACTTTGTAAAGAATCATTCTTTCTACGCGTGAAATGAATGCTTTTAGTTTTTTAGTGCCATCAAAATCGTTGGAAGCTTTTGTGAAGTGTATTTATGATTAAGCAGAAATAACGGTGTTAATCCTGCTGCATCTTAGAACAATAAGAAAAGGAAGATAATGGTGCAAGAGATGTTCTCACAAACTCAATTTTGCATCCCTACGAATGAATTTTAATAAAACACGAAATCATGAGTAAATGCTAAATGAAGCAAATACTATATGTTTTCGTTACTATTGCCGCACTTAGAAGCGCTTCACTCGAGTAAAAGGGTCGCAACTGATGAGGCTGTCGGTTCCCGGTTCACGCCTCCGCCCGATCCGCATCCGCCACAGCCACGGGTCGTTGGAACTAGCCTTGCCTTGCATCGCCCGCTTCATGGTTCTCCGACCGACCCAGCATATTGATTCAAGTATATTTGCTCAACGACCACGATTGATGGCGTTCACCCTCTGCATTCGGTGTCGTAGCCAGGATTTCACATCGATGGGGTGTTGCTAGGCGAGAGCCTTCACACCGCCGAAGCTGCACATTCCACACCTTTGGTGAAGCCACACCCCCCTTGCTTTCACCTTCCAGGCGAAGGAAACATCCCCTCCTGACTGCAATTCTTCTTTAAATTATGTTACTGTATTTGCCGTGAATACGCTACCGCGCCAAAAGTATTGGAACCAAGGAACCAATTGGTATTGGAACCAAGGAACCAATTGGTATTGGAACCAAGGAACCAATTGGTATTGGAACCAAGGAACCAATTGGTATTGGAACCAAGGAACCAATTGGTATTGGAACCAATTGGTATTGGAACCAAAAGTATTGGAACCAAAAGTATTGGAACCAAAAGTATTGGAACCAAAAGTATTGGAACCAAAAGTATTGGAACCAAAAGTATTGGAACCAAAAGTATTGGAACCAATGCGACAAGCATCAATCATTCCATGTTCCAACTCCGTCAGCTCAAATCCACGCGACAAACTTGCAAACACCAACTATAACATATTGCAGACAACCGTTATATACTTTTGTACAACGGTAATTCCCTCTAAACACGACCTCTGGGACAAACTGTCATGGGCGGAGGGAGACTAGTCCCAAAACTTTTGGCAATATATAGTACATTCAGACCAGAGTTTCAGGCAAGTCACCCCCCCCCTCAACTAACGCTCGTTACGCCACTGTTACTTTGTATTCCACCGTCTATGTCAGTCCCGAGCAGGCGTTGCCAAGAAACCGAATGCGACCTTGACAGTCCTGGTCGCAACTATGCAGTTGCTATGCAGCCGAAAACCTTTTTACGCAAAGGGGCCTTCAGTTGGCGACCTTCCATTTTGACCTTGAGCTTTGACGAAGGTCGATTGCTTTCCATGAAATTGCTTCAATCCCGTGGCATTTCCAAGCATTGAACTTTTAATTTGTTCGAATGCATATGTTATATAATGTCCAGTAATGTTGTACCGTTTTCTAATTTTTACAGACAATAGAAACATGCAGCAATATTGAGGATGATTTCACTACAACTCTCCGCGTTTTAGCTTGGAGAAGCTCCCTTTCCTTTGTTTCCCTTTCACATCCTCCTGCCACGGCATGCGACGCAGCATCTCGAGCTTGAGTCCCAAAGCGTTCGGTCTCCGTCTTGCAGGCATCCGAGTGCATCCGAGTGCATCCGAGTGCATCCGAGGGCATCCGAGTGCAGTCCAAGGGCAGTCCAAGGGCAGTCCGAGGGCAGTCCAAAGGGGACCGAGTTCATTGCATTCTGCATCGATTTCATCGGCTGTGCCAACGCGGAAGCGTTTCTCCCTCGGCCCTTGATCGACGTCATTCTCGCTCTCACGCCGGATTTCATCTCTCTCTCTTATTTTCATGGGCGCGACGGATTTCGCTGACATTTCCCTGTCGCTGTTCTTTGCACCATTATAAATAAACTAGCTGCTACCCGTGAAACATTCACGTCTGCATAATTAATAAGTGAAAGAATGAAAATTTGAACTTCCATATTTTGAATAAATAATTTTTGGTGCGTCCCCAAATTCATCCCCAAATCCCCGAATTTTCCTTCATATGAATTTTTAAGTGAGTTCTATCTCTGAGAATTCTAGGGGTAGCGTTCGAATTCCAATCTGCCACGCTTTGGATCAATGACAAGTGATGTGTTGCGTCATCAGGGAAACGGAAGTTGCATGCATGCAAATTTTCATTCGAATGAGGCACTTGAAACACATGGGCATTGAATTAGGCATGATTTTGAATGATTTGAATGAGCTTCAGCTCTATTGGACGGCAGCTCGGTCGGCAATAAAGATTCCTGTTGGGTGCAGGCGAATGCATTATCAGAGGAATCTTTTTCTGCAGCTGCTGACAAAAAAATGACACCTCGTTCCGTCAGCGCTCGACGCGTTCACGTCATGAAATGACGTCACTCTCAGGCAAGCAGCTGGCAGCGGAACGTCGCAAAGCCTCTTAGAAGAAGGGCGTGCCCAGAGACACGGACGAGCTTAGAGGCCTGAGCGGGCCGCGGGACGGCTCGGTCGGCCTTACACGACCCGCGGGTGGGTCGGGTCTGGTCGGGCGGGACCACGACTCGAATCGGGCCAATCGGGTCGGGTTCGGAAAAGTCGACCCGTGCAGGCAGAAGAAAAGAAAACTGCTTAAATACCTCTGTGCCACAAAGGACTCTAAAAGACATAAGTAACACACGCCGAACAATAAAACGTGAACACGCGTAAGAAACACAATTTGAATCCTCCAGTATCGGAAATTCCCTCTGTTTCACAGAATTGAAGCATAATGCAGCGAACACCAAATTTTCCGATCTTTATCAAACCTGCAACGATATCAAAGTTTGCCGACTTGCCGAAATACAATTTTTGCGAAATCCCAAATACTGAAATTTACTTAAACGACTGAAAAATACTGAAATTTCATAGGAAACCCGTAAGGCGCGTGCTTACTGCGGATTCCTCAGCTAGGTCCCGACCTATAAAAACGACTTAACCAAGCCTCAAATGTCGTTTTCGCAAGTCGCCGAAAAGTTCCGTTCCCAACCTCGAAGAAAGAAAAGTAGCAGGACCATAGGACCTCTAGATAAAAAAAGGGCAAAAAAAAGGAACTTCCATGACGAAATTCAATCATTCAAAGCGGTGGTATTTCGATGCAGTCCTCATCGCCGGACGCCGATGGCGTTCGCATCTCACGCGACGCGGTGAACCATCAGTATTTTAACAAGTTTCAGAAGAGAGCGAGGGCTTTAAATTGATATGGCAACACAAAATTAAGTAAACAGAAATATGAAAGTTCATCCAGGTCATGCAAAAGTGAGATTTTAAAAAATTACTGCATGGATTTTGGCGACCAAAGAAAACGAGTCAGTTTGGTCGAGAATCGGTTGATGAACCTGGGAGTTCTTCAAAGCTGAGTGCTTGAGGCGAAGGGAATGTTTGAACCAGTTCAGGACTCACCTCGATCAGTCTGCTCTCGGCGGCTGTTCCCTGCCTTTTTTTTCCGCCTCACTCGTTCGCTTCCGTCACCTATGGCGGTCAGAGTGGGAAAGAAATACGAGGTTTAGCATTGCCTGAGAATATATTTTTTTGGCATAGTCATTAATAATCCTCCAAGGGTTGCTGAGATGCCTCTCTTGAAAAGCTCTTGGAACCGTCTTTATTCGAGAACGTGCCGAGAAACTCTCGAGAAGGTATTGCTGCTCTTGTGAAAGTACCGCTGCATGAAATGAAACCCTGCTCCGAACGGCTTCAGGATAATTAAAGTCGGCGGAAGAACTTGTGAAATAACCCTAATTAGCAATTTCTTAGACAATGGGCACAGAGCGCTTCACTCGAGTAAAAGGTGCACTCGACTGAGGAGGCCGTCGGTTCCCGGCGCGGAAGAACGCCTTCCACCGATCCGCATCCGCCGCGAGCACAGGTCGATGCCTGGCTCGTCCCCTGCCCCGCGTTTCAAGGTCATCCAGAGAAATCAATGCCGTCATATATGCATGAAAGCGTACCATATTGTATCCCACATGCAATAGGAAAGTGCGACCAGGAAGTTCCCGTCTCAACTGCATTAGAGGCCAGTTCACCTCTAGACTGGGCGTTGGTTGCTAGTTCCTTTCCATGCTGAATTTCAAGCTTGGATTCAAGGCTTAAGCAAAGTTTGTTCAACAGAACGAAGAAAAAAATTTATATTTCAATTCTGAAATGCATGTGTTTGTGCGAGTAAAAAGCAATTCGGTTTCTAAAGACAAGCCGAGGAAGAGGCAAACAGCAATCTCTTAAATTGCGACATTTCATCCAATTACTTAATTTGGATCAGCAAAAGGAAAAAATGTTATAAACCAAGCAAATATTGATTCATAAGTGCACATTGTGCTCCTGAGTAATATTGGTCGAATTAAATATGCTCAGTATTAATATTTAAAACTCATTACAAGCATTTCATGTTATTCAATAATTATAAGTATTTTTTATTTGAAGGTAAAGCAGGGTGGTATGACATGGTAAGGGTAAGTAAGGGTAAGTTAGGGAGGTAAAATCTGAGCGTCGATTCAATGTACTGTATGATGTTATATTTCTTCAAATTTATATTTTTTATGGAATCATTCCAGAAAGAACGGACTCCTCTTTTTTTTAAATACTATTCTTTGTTTACATTAAATCGTTTTTTGTATTAATTTGCATGGCTGTATGTTTTGCCGCATGTATTGAAGGAGCAAAATGGGAAATATATATATTGCATATATATTGCCCACGTGCTCTGAATTTGCATGGATACTTATTTCGAAAATTACTGATGAATTGCAATTCTTCGGCAAACATTTAAATTTTTTCCTGACTCGGAAATTTCAAGAATAGTTGAGAGTTGGAAAAAAATATTCAAAGCTTTAAGGACAGGAATCACAGTCGTTATTTCAAACTTGGCGAAGATTGAACTTTGCCCCAATTTCCAGTTCGCTTAGCATTTGACTTAAACGCAGGAGATTGGCAGACATCTCGGAATTCCAATTTGCTGGGTTCGTGGCCATTGGCTATTGGCATTGGCCGACATCCGGAGGCTGCGGGCGGGGTCCATTATATCGAAGCCGAATGCATAGCCATTTGGCAAAGGACATATTCAGAAGTTCATCGCTCTGCCAATTGGTCACTGCCCCATTCTTAAGAGAGAAACAGTTTGCCCCCTTGGATCAAGGTCAGCATGGTGCTCCACCTGGCATGATTTAAGGCATGCCCCTCATGGGCTGAAAGGGATAAAACACAACTAGGAGAATTCAATTCAATTCTTACATAGCTGAGTGTCCGATCCTCCAATGCGAAGAGGTCTTCAATTCATTCAAAGGCAACTAATTAGTCCCGTTTTGCGTCTGGAAACTCATAACGGCCTTCATTTGTCAGTTTCGAAGGACTGTCTCCCAGATGAGGTCTGAGGGACAATTGAAACACGATTTGTTCTCTCTGGCATCGATGAGGAAAAGAAAACGAGGGAGAAATCATGTATTAAAGAGAGTGATCCATGAAGGCGTTCCGGAAGATAATTTATTGTACAAACCAAAATACTTATGTTAAGGACTTTAAGGTTGGCACCATGGTTATTTTTGGTCCTCACGTTTTTGTGTGCAACGTCACATCTTAACATGACAATATGAACGGTCATGACACCCTGATGCGACGGGAGGTCAGACCAAGTTGATGAGGAACGATGACTTTCTCTTCCAAATGGGCAAAATCCGTTGGTATAGAAATGTATTGCAACTATTATATAGCAAATCCCCAAAAGGAAAAGTCTGGTGATATTAGACCCGAGAGTTTGGGTGGCCACGATAGTGGTCCCCCTAGGCCACATCAGTTGTTGTGGCTTAGGGGGACCACTACCGTGGCCACCTAACTCTCCGGATCTAACGTCAGCAGACTTTTGGGAATTCGCAAAGGACAGGGCATACCATTCCACGAGACCTCGTCGGAGTCTCCTAGACCCAGGAAAGCAACCCGATTTAAAGCCAGAAGGAGCTCAGGTAATTTCAGCAAACGTCCTTGCATATACTAAATTTCGAAAGATCTCACTTTTAGTTTTACAAAAAATGAGTCAGTACCAACGAAGCCAAATCTGCTTTAAAAGCAAGGGGGAAAAGGCGAAGTATTTTTAGCCGAAAAAAAACGCAGGAAGCAAAACATGTTTGAATTGAATTATTGGGAAGCATATAGATCCTTTCCCGGTACTTTCGGGAAAAAGTTGGGATTCCCGAAACGTTTTGATACAGATTCGAATTGTACGGATTATTTCAAAAACCAAATTCATTTTCGCTTGAATGTCAAGCAAAAAGTATCTTCAGTTTTACAAAAGATTGGAATACTGTGGGCCCCTGAGAGGAGCGTCAAGTTCAAAATTAAGTCATAAAAAAGAACTCGATGAAGTGCAAGTCATATAAAGTACTTTATTCCACATTATGAACAGCATTTATTCGCGACCAAGAGTCATAGCTTGAAGAATACAGTGAAAAGAGTACTGATAACAGCAGAATGGTCAGGTTGTTATGCAGAGGTCAGGTTTCTCAGGGAGATATGGGAAAAGAGGCATCCAATTTGGTATAGCTTAGAGTATGGGGACAGATTTCAGCATGGTATCTATCGGAGCAAGATTCGAGGCAAAAACGGCATTGACAGTATTCATTAGCCTCATGATAACCAGGCGTCGAACATAACTTATTGCCCGAGTCAGAATATGGCGGTTTGCTTGGCTGGGTTTCTTCCACTGATTTGTCCTGAACGCTGGGCCCGCTGTAAAATTTTGTATCACAAAGTTCCAATTTCGTTCTTCTCTGCAGCTCTGGTACTCTCTCCATACTGTTGGGCTTAGCTGGTATCGTGAGTGTATTTCTTCTGCACAAGTTGGAGTTGAGAGCAGCTGATGGCAGAGGGTTGATGACGCTGATCTTGGAAAACACAGGGTTCTTTCGAGGAAGGAACTTTTTACTTTGTCCAGTTCCTTGAGCTGCGGTAAAGTGAGCCGTTGGGAGATGATTTCGAGTCCATCAGTCAGAATAGGTTGCATCTTCGTTCTGTATACCGCTAAGGCCTCTTCCACTGAAAGTTTCGATATGTGTGTAAGGCTTCCAATAGCACTAAGTGCTTTTTGGTTCTTTCTTGTCACATGGTTGGTGAAGGTGAGGGTTGGTTGGAATTCAATTCCAAGGTAAACATAGGACTTGACTACTTCCTATTAATATATCCATAGGGTTCCTTCCCGTACCAGAAGCGATCTTTTCTGGCCAGTCGGCCGCCTTTCCGCAATTTCATGATTTTGGTTTTGGTTGTGTTGACGTCAAGGAGGTTTTCTTGTGACCATAAATGCAAGGCATTGAGGGAGGTTTGGATATCTTCTCTCTCCGGGGAGAACATTACTACGTCGTCTGCGTACAGCATAATGCGGACATCTGGGCAGAGCTCCTTGATTTTGGAGACCAAGTCAGCTATGAAGAATAGGAAGAGAGTGGGGCTGAGGGTGTCTCCTCGGATGACTCCTCGATTTTGCCTGGTGAGTGGGGAAGTGCGTAAGCCGTCGAAGATGGTGATGGTGTTCGTGCTTAGGATGGCTTTCAGAATTTGTAGCAGCTTTTCCTGTACATTGAAGGAGTTCCGGAGTTTCTTGATCAAAATTTTTGACGGTTTACTGCGTCGAAAGCTTTGCAGAAATCGATGAAGGCCGCATACATTTTCCCCTTTGGTTGGGCTAATTGGGTTTTAATTACTGTGATAAGTATTTTTAGAGGCTGTGATGTACCGCACCCTTTCTTGAAACCGTGTTGTTCGTCAGGTAGATTTGCACCACAGTTTTCCATCAGTGCCCTGCTAATGAGCCCTGTGAAGATTTTTCTTGCGCAAGGTAGTAGGGCTATGCCTCTGTGACTGTTTGGGTCGTCCATAGCGCCTTTCCATTTGTAGAGCGCTTTTACCACGCCGGTTTTCCATGACGACGGTAGAGTACCGTACTTTATTCCAAATATCTGATAAAATGTATCATTCGTGGCTGTCGAGGATGAGTAGGATTAAAATCAAACTTTTGCAGCAGAAATGTGTGGTCTTTTCCGCCTTTCCAGCAGTCTACATCCGCGAGCCCGCGCTTAGGAAAATGGATTGCATGACAAGAAAATGTTAGAAAAATACAAGTTGAAAATATAATGTGAGCAAACATTGTTCAGCTTTCATCCATTAAAAGATGTTTCAACTGCACCTCATACTTAACCTTTGCGGGTTAAATATTTAGCCTTTGTGATAGGTTCATTAAAATATCCTTTGGAAGAGGTTGAATAACGAGCCGACCTGGATGAAATATGTAAGATGCAATCACAACGGTGAGAGGTTTTCCTCGAATCACGTTGAGTAACGTTGGTGTCAGACGCCAACTTCTTCGGTCAGTCTTCGGGTTGGACAACTTAGGGAAAGAGTTCAGGAACACTCATTTCCTTCAACTCTCAAAAAAGGTATGCCCCATACCCTTTTTCCTAACAGTGTACTGGAAATTCGGCGATAAGAATCTGAAGTGCAAGAGTCGCATGAACCCAATCCCTTCCGCTTGGACAGGACCGGCCATAGTTATTTCGGCGCCATATGCGAAGAAACTCCCAACGTCGCCCCCACCCCCCTCCTTCCCACCCCTCAGAAGGGAAAAGTGTCAACCCCTAGCGTCCAAAAAGACGCCGAAACGGAAGGCATTTCCACTTTCTGAAATAAAACTGAGAGTGGCATCCACTATTACTTTATTCATTCTGGCGCGTTTGGGCGCCCCTGGTGAATCTGCACCCTGTGCGGGGACACTTGCCTAACGCTGGCCCTGCGCATGGATTCTGAAGCGCTTTCACCTCGTCAGGAGCATTCATCTAGGGACACTCGTCCAATACAACACAACCGATGGTCCCATGCAATCATTGAAATGCGAAGGAGAAGAAGTCGAAGGTAATAATCCAATTGACAGGCAATAATACAAAAGAACCATGAATGGATGTGGAGTAAGGGATCATTGTGCACCAAAGAAAGACACACTGAGGAGACTTCTTTTTAAGCCCTTTTCAGCCCATTTTAAGAAACCCCGTTCCCTCTCAGAGGAACTTCAAGCGATGAATCAATTTAGCTGCAAGACTCAGCGAAAGGCATAGGAGAAAGCTTTCTCCTGCTGCATCGGCAGCTCCTCCTGCTCCTCCCTTTGATCCACTTCCACCTCCTCTTCCACCTTTCCCCCCACCTCCTCCACTTGATCCACCATCCCCCCCACCTCCACTTCCTCTTCCACTTCCTCCTCTTCCTCCTCCTCCCCCTCCATGTCCACCACCTCCTCTTCCTCCTTTTGGCGCCCTGCGCCTTCTCCTGCATAGTCAAATAATCGTTGCTTGGAAGATCCTCATGCAAAACTTGGCCCCTAAAGTAAGAAATTCCGCTTCCAATACTTCTAATACTCCCACTAAATGAGTGGCTTTTGTTACTCCGAGTCTCCGAAGAGCAGGCTGGCACCGTCAGCCTAACCCAGTCGTGTACGTAATTCTTTATGTGACGGAGAGACCTTTGTAGGCTTTACTTTTTTCAAACAGATATCCGGTGTTGAACTCTTCTGCCATGAAGGAACCATTTTTACACCTAATGATTGCCCTCACTGGACCCTCGAGCACGATGATGATGCTCCGAAAATTGATAGAAAATGCTCACGTGCATATTTCCTCGCCAGGGTTAGGTGGGAAAGGAAATTATTTTTCATCAAACAGGCTGGTTCCTTGTACACATATTGATTGGGAAGTGATGACATTTACTCTTTTCTTAAATATTATTTCTCATGAGATGGCCTTTGTTCAAATATGACTGTTCGCATTAATATCGCAAGTGCAATGTATGTTGGTGGCATTTGTCGCATTTCCATCACAAACCTAACAATTTTTACAAACTAGGGGCAAAAAACGTGAGCCGAAATGAAGGAGAGAAGCCATTCAGTTCGCGTCTCATCTGTGCGAACGACTTGAAGAATAAATTGAAAGATTCAAGCTCAAGACGTTCTCACGTGAAGGTGGGCAGGGGACAGATCCTTCCTCCTTCGAGAACGTCGGGCACTCGGCACTCGGTGCACTGCACGAGCAGGCGGCCTTGCGCGCGGCGGATCCGTTGGTGGAGCGCTGGAGGACCTCCACCCTGCAAAGCACGCTTGGATGCGACCTCGTCCAGCTTGAGGACGTTCTCGTTCTCCGGCCTCTGGTCGTCCGCTAGGCAGAATACTGCACCCGTGCGAGAGAAAGTTCACGTACGTTAGTGCGTCGCTTACGAAATTAAATGTGCCGGAAAGGAAAACATAGACGCAAAATTGCAGATGCAATAGGAATAGGACATGGTCTTCTCATATAAATTCGCATTTTTTTAATTCTGTATTTTTTATTCAATAGTTTTCTTAAAACAAAATGCATGTTGCAGCATTGTTTGAGGTATAACGTTAATACCGCAAAAAAAAGTTCAGGCTACGAAAAAACAGAAGCAGTCGCATGGCAAATTAAATCGCACGAGCCCCTTCCCCCTTCCCATCCTGCCTCCAGCCCCCGTACAACTCACATTTCCCAAATGCCTCGAATCCCTCCCCAGGGACAAGCTGGCTCATCTCCTCATTCACCAGCTGGCAAGTGCCATCCAACATCCTGTAGTTGAAGGCGTGGCAAGGATTGGACGACTGATCCCTGGCGCAAGCAGAGCTGCATTCCTCTAAGTCAGCGGAGATTTCCCATGACACAACTCCGTACCGTTGCCCCGGGTGCGCCACCCAATACACCATGGGTTTAAATGCTGCTCCAATCCAGAGCAGGCAAGAAAACGCCACAAGCGTGAAGGAATGGGTCATCGTCCTATCACGACCAGGGAATTTCTATCCATGTATGTTCTTGTTTCGAGGTAGCAGCAGTTCAAAATGAAACGTATACTCTCAAAGTTTAAACAAACACCTAATCGCTTCCTTATCGTTGAATGCTTGAGGGGGATCCGTATACGGCCAACTTGTTATGATTGCACGAGATGATCTCATTCGATGCGTAATGACGGGAAAGCCTGTTTTAATGCAAGAGTTGGCAGTTATCACTGTGAAGTTGGATGAACTTCTGAAGTCCTTAAAGGTTCTTTAGACATGACTCTGAAAGGCGTCGACTCCCCGCGCTAGAAATCCGTAAAAAAGTATATCTTTATAGGGGTGTGAATTCGCAAAAGCGACGCAAAAAATGCTGCGTAGCTCATCATAAGCCAAGAGGAAAATGATAGGCCTCCTTGCGAGGGAGGGAGGTGCTTCTCTAAGTCGCCTACCATACGTATATATGATGGGAGAGTCGCTTGGGTGGATTTCATCGGGAAAATATAGAGCACAGAACTCGCCCAGTCAATGTCTGGACCATATCCAAGCATGCTTCAAGTAGCGGTCAGAATGCCTGACATACGAGGAATGCCCCGAACAAGGCCCTTGGGAGAGTTCTGTTATCAGCGATGAGGAAGTCCAGAGGCAAAGTCGTGCACAAGGGCGAGGACGCGAGGATCTTCCTCTGCGACATTCCGTACAAAATTATGCATGTGCTAACCTATATGTTGACTGAAGTTGATTTGGCGTACATAGTGCACGTAAAGAATTTCATAGAATAATTCAAAAATTACAAATCAGAATTGAATGCAAACACGTTATTTAGAGATGTTGAAATAACTGCATTGACACTGTGGAGGCGCTTCACTCGAATAAAAGGGTAACGACTGAAGAGGCTTTCGGTTCCAGGACAGAGGGTCGACGCCTTCGCCCGATCCGCATCCGCCACATTGCCGGGTCGTTGGGAGCCTGCCTCGTCTTCTGCCGCGTGTTTCATGATTCTCCAACCGAAGCAACTTATCGATTTGGACGTATTTGCTGAACGAGCGTGAAAAATGAGGGTCCGCCCACCTCTTCCTCTGGCTAGGCGAGTCCTTCACCACCGTTGCCCGGAAACCGTGTGTGACCCTGTAAATTCTCTTTCCTGAACGACGATATGCATTTCTTTTTTCATTGAGAGAGGGGAGCGGGGGGGGGGGGGTTCTATGACGTCAATGATGAAAAATGGAGGATTTGGTGCTTTGCTTCATCAGGTGTGAAAAAAAAGGAAAACCTGTAATATAAGATGCCCATACTTTTCGTCAGTCACGACCAAGAAGAGCTTTCCAAACGAGTAAAATGACTGCTTACTGCCCAAATAACACAGCATGCTAATGAATTTATTGAAATTTTTTGCCAATGTTGCTCTATGTTGTATAAATACCTTTTGCAGCTTGCTTTTAGAATGTTTGCTATTCATTTCCAGCTCACGGCTCATTTCCCTTTTTTAAACATGACAAGGGGAATATAGGCGCGGCGCATTGAAAATTTCTCGTTTTAGAAGAGTTTTCGTAGGAAATAACGTTCGACCGACTTCCGGAAAGGAAACATTTTCGGCATCCTGTGTCTGCAATTTCGGTGTTCCTCCTCGCATTTCGTTTGCTGAAGACAACAAATTGAAGAGCGGCGACAGAAAATTTCGAAATGGAAATTGTGTTTACCGACATTCGATGGGATAAGCCACAAAGGCTTTTCAGTCGGATCACCGCCACGATGATGAAAGACCGGGGAAATGACAGGAACTCGTTGCACATCAGAAATGTAGGGGAAACGTGCTGCTGCATCTATCCAAAGCTTATCTACCTTTTCTGAGAGTGCATGAGCATGAAAACCTTTCGACGAGACCTTTCTGTTCTCTTATCTAAACTCCAAACGTCGAAACGACGCCTGAGTTGCGGGATAGAGTGGGTCGAAACATATCGAGGAGTATTTCCAGGTACTTCTTCTCCATCTAGGGATATTTGATTTGCTTGGAATGAACGACCGAAATGAAGACATGCATGCTCTTCTTCATTTTCAGAGACTCGACCCTCGTGTGTCTGAATTCCATTCTTCGACCCTCGGAGCCCGCATGTCCAGGCGTATCGATGACAGCAATGGAATCCCCATTCCACAATCATATTCCCTAAATTTTCATTGCGCTGATGGTACAGCTATGAGTACTATGCTAAGTTTTGAAACCGTCGTGAGCATACGGATCCCCTCCAAGTAAAAATTCCCATCGGGAGGATTTTCCACTACCTGTATTTCCCAGGACGCGTACTTTCCTCATGTCGTTAGCACGATTGAAAACCTTCAAAGCGAGGAAGTCACCGCCAGAATTAATGCTGCTTATACAGGGTGGCCAAACAATGTACCCAATTTCAAAATGCAATTACAGGAAAACCATCTAATATATATAGACGATGGTGACTGACTGACTGACTGACGCTAATTCTAACCATGTTCTAGAAGGGCTAGAAATCTGAAACTTGGTACACATCTACCTTTTGGGATGCAGAGTTCNTCTAACAAAGGAGAAATAAATAAATTCAGTAAGTAAACAGGGCATCTAATATATATAGACGGTCGTGACTGACGCTAATTCTAACCATGTTCTAGAAGGATTAGAAATATGAAACTTGGTACACATGTACCTTTTGGGATGCAGAGTTCAGAAAAAATCCGACTTTGGAGGTGCATGCCCTGGGGGTACGAATTTTGGGGGAAAATGTTTTGCTTAAATATATATTGTGGCAAATGAGGATGGCATTCAGAGAACCAACTGGATGTGCTGTGTTCCGTGGTGCAGTAGTAGCATATCTGACCGGCAATCAGAAGGGTCAGGGTTCAAATCCTGGCCTTTCCCTGGCTCTCGTTTGGCTTTTTTGCCTTCCATGTCCCGCTACTCATTCCCTCTCCATAACATTATTTTTGCTTGAGTAAAACGGAGAGACGTGGAAAGCTGAAACTTGGCATGGACGTGCCTATTGAGACGATGAGTTCAGGAAAAATGGAAAGTTTTAGATCCATGCCCTGGGGCATATTTTTTTGGGCCGACGTTTTCAAGTATTTTTTTTGTCTTGGCGTATTGAGCTAGTGTTGAAAGATAAAACTTGGTACATAACTACCTATTGGGATGCAGAGTTCAGAAAAAATCCGACTATGGAGGTGCATGCCTTGGGGGTACAAATGTTGGGGGAAAACGTTTTTCATGAATATTTTTTGTGAGAGATGAGGATAGCCTTCAGAGAGACAACTGGTTGTGATGGGTTCTATGGTGTAGTCGTAACATATCTGGTTGGCAGTCAGAAGGTCCAGGTTCAATTCCCGGCCATGCCTTGGCTTTCGTTTGGTTCTTTTACCTTCCATGTCCTGTTACTCAATCCCCCTCCATAACATCATTTTTGCTTGAGTAGAACGGAAAGACATAGAAAACTGAAACTTGGGATGGACGTGCCTAATGAGACAATGTGTTTAGGAAAAATGCAAAATTTTAGATTCATGTTCTGGGGGCATATTTTTGTGAGCCGACGTTTTCAAGTTTTTTTTTGTCCTGGCGGAGTGGAAAGATGAAACTTGGTACGTAACTACCTATTGGGATACTGCAGAAAACTTCAAGCTTTAAAAGTAAATGCCCTGGGGGCACAAATTTCAAAGGGAGATGTTTTCAACTCATTTTTTTGCATCTGGTAAACTGGTGAACATGGAAAGCTGAAACTTTGTATGAATGTGACTACTGAGACAAGGAGTTAAATGAAATTGTTAAGTCACGATACATCCCCTGGGGGAATTTTTCAAGTTGCGATGTTTTGAACAAGAAATTGGCATGGCGAATTGGAAAGAAATTGAAAGGTGAAACTTGGCACACGTATAATGACATGATATTACTGAGCTGAGAGAGTATTCAGCTTTTATGGTGCATCCCCTTCGGGCATAGCTTTTGGGTGGGTCGGCTTTTGAAAGCATGTTTTTTCACCAGCGAAAGAGCAAATGTATAATATTGAAACTTTCGGGACATGTACATCAATGGGCAGACATAGATAAGTAGCTGGCGCACGCATCACTGACGTGATGTTGATTTAAGGAAAAATTAAATTTTTTTATACGTCTCCTCAGAGCACAGCTTTTGGGCGGGTCGCTTTTCCAAATATATTTTTTTCGGCCAGCAAAATGGGGAAACGTATAAGGGTGAAACTGGGTGGCATGGAGTTCCCTGAGTCTACATTTCAAAAGAAAAAAAAATTCGCTAACACCCATTAGTGCCCTTTCTTCAGTCCCATTTTCCTGATTTTTTTTGATCCAACGAAACAAAGACAGGAAATTTAAACTTCCCTCAGAAGTACTCTTTTTGATGGCTGAGTAGAGGAAAAATTGTAATTTTGAAATATGTATCCTTAGCGTAGATTATTGGAGGGAGGTTTTTCAAAATGTATTCTCCACCATTACAAAAAGGGACACAAGAAAATATTTCAAGTTAGGCACCCAGTATCATAGAGGTAATGATTTTGATTTGAAAAATCAATACATTTGACCCCATATGTCACGTATTTCAATGGGGATATACTTTAAATACGTGTTTCCCATTTCGCAAAAAAATGAATGAATTAATCACTATCCAATGTAAGGGAGTGCCGAAGGTGCGACCATAGCGAGTTTGTTTGCCCGAAGGGCAAACAAACTAGTAAAAGTAAAAGATAGGATTGTAAAAGGAGATAGGAAAGTAAAAGCTAGTAAAAGATAGGATTCAATGATAAAATTCATTAAAAAGACAAAAACAATATTTGTTCACTAATTTATATTTTTTCTGTTGTAGGTTAAAAATGCCTCAATTAAATTTACAACAAATTATCTTTATCGTTGAGGTACATAGGAAATTTCAGTTAGGTCAGAATTCCTTGCATTGTCTTAGCTGT